AAAAAGTAAAAACTAAAAAGAAACTAATAGAATAAATAGAAACTAATATAAATTAGTAACACACACACACACACACACACACACACACACATTATTTAACACTGAACACTTCTGTGTTCATTGTTTTTGTACATAAAATCTCGTTCCGAAAATATTTTGTATTAAATAATGGAATAATTCTTAAATAATGGATTCGATTAGATTTTCATTGTCTATGCAAATTATCTATGCCGCTGCAAAATATTTGTTATGTTTTTGCAGGAAAAACCACATAAATGTCCTCAATGTTCAAAATCATTTCCGACACCAGGTGACTTGAAAAGTCATATGTATGTTCATAATGGATTGTGGCCATTCAGATGTCACATTTGCAGTCGTGGTTTCAGCAAGCCAACAAACTTGAAGAACCATATGTTACTTCATCTGGGTAGATGTTCTAATAAGAAGTATATCAAATCTATTTCCGACTTTTAAATGAATATTTTGTAACAATTAAATGAATTACTTTGTAACAATTGTATAAAAAGACTTAAAAATTATTAGTATACGTATATATAGATATAATGTGCCATTATTGATTAATACAATTTGACAAGAGGACACTATTATATAGATGCAATTATATTGTATTGCAATTTATTCAGGTCATACTCAGATCTGAAAGCATACTTGTTCAATGATGTAAATTTTTTGCAAAATTTTTAATTATCCAATTCATTATGTTGTACATTATTACAATTATTCAATTCTATAATCAATATTAATTTCTTTAATGTAGCTTAATATATTCACAAGAATATGGATTTTTAAATATTGTAATTAAAATTTGTTATGCACACACTCTGTATGTGTGATTAATGATGATGGATAATCAAAATAATTTTGTATTCTTTTTGCTTTTATTTTCTTTTTATCTATTTAATCTATTTCATCTATTTAAATTAAATAATATAAAAGAGGAATAATAATATGATCTTTTATCATAAAAGTTGATTTTATTCAATTCAAAATTATTTATTTTATGGCAAAATATTGTGTAAAATCAAATAATCAAGAAATTTATATTTTATATATATATATATATATATAAATTGCTATATATAAACGTCAAAATATTTTACATACATATACACATGCGCGCGCGCACGCACGCGCCACCACACACACACACACACACACACACACACACACACACACACACACACACACAACAACAAA